CAGAGAAACAAGCTGAGCTAACGTTAACAGCGTGGAAGAAACAGTGATTTTAAGTTGGAACTGCCTTATTCAGTACTTTTACCCATTTTAATCAGCGGGTCAGATTGTTACAGAGAGGAGACCTCTTCAGCTCCCAGTAAAAACCTGCGGATTGCCTGGATCTCGAGTTATCAGAGAAACAAGCTGAACTAACATTAGCAATGACAGCAATGGTGGTGAGGACAACAACTTTGATCCCACACTACTTCACAATGTTATCAAAGAGAAGTGGCATGATATCGATTTTCCAAAACTGTGAGATATCTATATAGCAGCAGATACGTAATATTGATTAAATATTCGTCTGGCAAACTGCAATGAAAGGTGCCTACTACATTATTCTTTTCACTAGCTACTTAGTCCATAAAGGTTGTGGTTTAAAACTATTAAATTGATGAGTTCAATAAAAGTTTAACATGGAGAATGTGATTCCTGATACTGACATTATCCACTTTTGTCTTAGTCCACTCAACACTAGTTTCTTCCCTCACAAGTAACTCAACTGATTTAACATTTATTAGCAAAGGTTGATACAGTCTGCCTTTGAAGTTTGTCATTTCAACTGGTGAAAACTGGTCATAGATAGAAATGAGAAGCTGCTACCTGAATACTTTTTCACATACCAAATCTCTAATTTTCATTCATGAACTTTGAAATGCTGCACTGTAGAGCCCAGCTGCCATAGAGGAGAGCCGTGATGCAACACCAGCAGGCTGAGGTGGATAACAACAGTTAGGATCCATTAAAACATGCCCAGATGTTCTTCGATACGAGTCCTGATCAAAGCATGGCGCCTTTCTTCTTTCTTTCTAACAAAGCCATCTGGCAGCCCAACACTGTAATAAATCCTTAAAAACCTGATGTCTAAATTCATTACAATGGTCCAACAATCAAAACTGTTCCATTTATTTTCATTTAGCAGGGCCTCCTCCAAAAGTGGGAGTGAGTGTTAAACATGATTTCTCACCCCAGTTCAGCATAATGCATGTTCACCATCAATAAAGACATTATTTGTCGTCCCTGAATGCAAGAGCAGAGAAAATTGAAGAGTTAAAGTCGGGAAGATCAATACTGGCAGCTTTAATGGTCAACCTACTGCTCTAGAAACTCAACTGGCCAAACTTGTAACAATACTTTCTCTATGGGGACAACTCCAAGATATAATGTAAAATCCTACCGTTTAAAGGGACACTTCGCCCATTTGCATTAAGCTTTGTATCATTAGAAGCCCAGTCATATTTTTGAATGGTCGTGCATCATTCCCTCACTTCACCGGAGAGGGGAGAAATACGGATTT